TCCTCGGATAATTTCAGTTGAAAGACGAACAATTAAGAGAAGAACATTGAACATGTGTATGTATACGTGTACTGTTCAGAATAATACAACTAGCAACTATTCATTCGTTACGAACGTGAGTTGAAAGCTCATGTGATGATTCAAAGTATTGTAAAAAAGATTATATAACATACCAATTGCGTAACAATCTTTAAGAATGTATATTTCTTGTCATATATTTGATTGTCTTGATTCCTGTCACTAATTATTGTTATGGAGAAATAATATGTGAAAAACAGAAAAATTGTTATTATGAATTATTGATATTGATAAAAACATGTGATATTGAATGAAGATGCTAATTATTATTGACATATGATAATTTTATGATTTTCAAATTTCGAAATGAAAGAATCTATCCGAGTAGAACCAGACGGACAAAATCAAAATCATAAAAGATGAATATTCATGATATAATTAAAAGAAAATAAAAATAGGTTTATTTCTCAATGAATTGACAATATATTAATAATATACAAATTAGGCAATGTTAAAAATAATTTTAGATATCGATACAAATTATATATGCTATAAAATTTTATTACAAATTATTCTTATATTTTTTGTTGTATTTTAAAATTTCTAAAATACTCTCTGGTAAATATTAATTAGTATGTGTTCTCTAGTTTATAATTCCTTTTATTTACTGTATAGTAATTAAAGGGAATTATAAACTAGAGAACTATATTAATTATTGTACTGCATCAATAACTGTAACTGAAACAATTAATATAGAATTTTTCGACTCGATTAAGAATAACATTATCTAATTAATGGGCATTCTTATTTTTGTAATTATTTTATTATAAATTGAGCAAATTTTGATTCAGTTAAATTTATATTAAAATACATATAATAATATATTTTTACAATAAAATACAATAAGATGTAATAATTTGTAATAAGAATTTATATAAGAAAATATAATTTATGTCGAAATTTGATTCTTTTCAAGTATCGAAAAATACAAAATTATGTTTAGCAAATTAATGAAAATTAATACATGTACTATATACATACATACAAATTCAGTTCTTTTCATATCGTTTTGTTTTGGTCCTGTCAGTTGAATATTAAGTTAGCAGCTTCACGATTTTCTTCAAAATGACAAGAGATAATCTTTTGTTACAAATTAATACAAAATGAATACTAAATATTCCAATGGTTCCGCTTTAGTCCTGCCGACTTGATCTTACCAGCTTCAGAGAGGTGAAATAATATGTACATTCACATTTTATATATATCATATATTATATCTATTGACATATAATTCTTTGGTTCAGCTTATGTAACCTTGAGGAATAATTTTCGCTCAGTATCAATGAACCGTATCGTACGGCCTACTTTTTACTTTGCGAATGATCATTTTGTTGTGGTTTTTTCGCAAATTTAGCAGTATATTTTGTGCCGATCTTTAAACAAATTGCTGCAGTAATTTTACTAGCAAAATAGAGGACGTATAATCTTTTGATTATTTTTAACCTCAACGCTTGCTTCCCCACCAATTGTACAAAGTTCTATAACAATTTCGTACCTTTCCATGATACTTTCACTATTTACGCCAGCAATCGACGTCACAGGCACTGTGGAGAAATTGCGAATTCAGCGGCAACGTCAGAAAAAGGTTAAGATTTACGCGCGTTTGTAGTTTTTTCTTTTACGTTTGATATTTTCATGACGGGAAAATTTTAATCCTTGTATAGTTTTTATTACCTGGAATATGAGAAACTATTTAAACTTATATGCATGAGCATATTACAAAAATTTAATTACAAATGTCGACAATTGTTATTTAGTTTCTCTTTAAAAATTTATACATATATCATTTGAGTTATATTTAATATTATAAATAAGATTCCACACGTGCAGGTATTTTAGACGAAATCACATTTTACATTTTCCCATCACGTGTAATTCGGCATGCGACATTTTTTCCAACGGGTTTTAAATTTTGATTTCTCACGAAGAGGAGAATTTCTCTGAAATATTTCACGCGTATGCGATATATTTAATGGACGCTTTTAAGCCTCGGTCATTGTCGCTTGACCGTCTGCACGCAACGGATCCGTTTTCGTTCTCCGAAACGCGGGCAGGCCGAGGTTAAACGAGGCATTCGCTGCATCAGCGGTGGCCGCAGCAGCCGCCGCCTCTTTCCTAGATCCGGATCTTTTTCTCGGCGAGACGCACCGCGCTCGATGACGCGTTTGAAGTTTAGATTCGCCGCGGGGTGTGTGTCCCGTTCGCGGCGAATGAGCGGGCGCGTTGTCAGAGGCTCGTCTCAGCTGCGACGTGACGTAACGCCGTTTAAAAGGCGACTCGCGTGAAACGCGCGAATCAGTCGCACGCCGCACGTCGCACCGTGCATTGCCGAGGAACAGAGGAGGAGGAATCGTCGGATTTTCTCGGCCAGGAGGCTGTAGCGCGCTGTCGATCCAAATCCCTCCCTTTCCCTCTCGTCCTTTCTTTCCTCTATCTGCATCTCCGTCCTCCCAATTCCTTTTTTACGTCCATCCGCCCATCTGACATCTTCGTCCAGCGCATTACAATTAAATCGGGATTCTACACTCTTGAGGGATTTGGCGCTCGATCAGGAACGGGCGATATTATTTCTGTGCATCCAAAGGAAATCCTCTGACGTAGAGGTGCGACTCTTTTGCCGAGAGATTGGAAAGACACGCGAAGGTCGGCTTGCGTGTATCCCGTAAGTACAGATGAGATGCACGTCGGGACGAGAGACGATTCCAATTTTAATATTAACTATAAGCATTAATCTGTTATATTTTTATCGTCTTTAAGATCTTCGAATGAATAAGTTAAATCTCGAAGCGAATCAAACATGTGCAATTACTTCAGCTGTAGATACTGAGTTGTCATTTTACTCCAATCAAGTAAAATTTTCTTGTAATCACGGTAGATTCTATGTTATTGTGTAGCATTAGAAGACCGCCATCAGACTAATGAAACGTACTATTAATTCGTGATTTTGTTCCATCGAGTCCCAACATATAATTAAATAATTACTCATGGGTATTGTATTGCTTTGTGCCTCGAAACCATAACCAGCGTCTTACGTCTAGTGTATCGTTAATTTTTTAAAACACACATTATTAAATATATGTAAATACTGCATAAAAATATTCACGACTGTATATATTGTATTAATTCTAAAAATTATATTAATTTAGAATTTTGTAAACAATGATTCGATATCTTGCACATGTACACAGATACACATGCACACACATATATATGTATTTCATTTTTAAATTTTAAATTGGACATTGGATTTTGCATGAAACTGCGAAATAAGTAATATATTATTGAATTATGGTAATGTTATAAAATTAATCAGCCGATAATATTGTCGCCTTAAAGATAAGTCTTTATTTGTCTCTTGAATTTGTCTCCCCATGAATCGCTCGGAGAAGAGGCAGGTGACATGTATCGCATTCACGATTACTCCGTGGCTAAATGTAGCCGGTGTCATTTATAGGGACGGAAATAGGCACGAGTGGTATCAATTTGGTGACCGGTATTGACAAACTTAATGGAGCACGTCGCTGATATGAATACACGATTTTAATACGCGCGATGTATGTCGTGTTGGAAATAAAACGCATCTTTTATATCCTACGTAAGGAATTTCTCGCTTATCATGATCTAGCATTGCGCGCAATCTTACTTGCTTTAACTTCGACCATCAAAGATTTTATCATAAGTGTCTATTACAGAGTATCTACTGTCAGATTGAAGAATTAAGTGCAACAGTAACCAAGTGTTTTAAGGTCTCGAGGAAATTAAACAACTTAAATTGAATGTAATAAGTAATTTTCTCGAATTTAATTTTTAAATCAATTTTTTCCAACTCTTGGAAAAAATGACTCGAATCGCATCATCGCATAATTATTTTCTCAGGTGATTCATTGAGATGATATATTGATTCTAACATATTTGTGTTAAACGAATCAATTGTTTTAAATTTTATTTCCAAACAATGCCATTAGAAACTTATATTTATCCACGTGCAAATGTCTGAGGCAGAAAGCGTCAAAGGTAATTAATTGCGACATGTGATATATATTAATTCGTAATCTAAATATTTTCAATCGATATAACGCGTTGTCGCGAATTGTTTCGAATTTATTCAAGGTCTCGAGGCCGATTTTGCTCACGTGGAAAAATATTATCGCAATCCGACATAAAGTGATATTAAATTCATCCTATAATTTTTATTCATTAACGAGGTCGCGTTTACGTGATTATCCACATTATCTCTCTTTTATAAATTCGTTCGATTATCCGCGAATGATCTATCGCGATATCTATCCGCAGGATCATTTGTCATTGCGGTGACATATCTATCACTTTGATCGACGCGATGACGATATACATACCTAATTATTTTACTGTTACACACAAATTATACGCAGACGCAATTCACTCCGCATAATTCAAGCATCACGTTGAGTGTAATTAGCTAATGAGACTATAGCGATCGATTTATTCGCACGGATATTATACATATTTTTAGCAGATAATTACGTTTCTGTGAAACAAGTTATCTAGACTAAAGAAACAGCAATATTTGTTATTTGCATTATGATTTCTTAAAAGTGATACTGTGTAATTGTACAATCTTGTTTTCACGAACGTGTCTATAAAAAAAGCGTTTATATAAAGCGTTTATAAAAAGCGTTTATATAAAATTAAAATAAAATATTCCGAGGGAATATTATATTTATATTAATATTATATTTCCGAGGGAATATTATTATTATATTAATATTATATTTCCGAGGGAATATTATTCCGAGGGAATATTATATTTTATGTGCTAGTTTTATTGACATGTAATTAACAGATAGAAAGTGCAGTATTTTGATTTTTTTTTGACAGAAAAAGTTGCAAACTCTCTGAGAGATTCTTTATCCTAATATCTATTTTCGCGTTTTGTGTTACAGGGGAGATGCGGCCTCGCTGTTGGAGCTGAAACCGCCGCGTCGGCTGCGAAAGTTCGTGGACCCGCATCCGAAATTGATCACGAAAAAGTAAGGATCATTCGCGTAAGGATCATCTGCGCGCTATCCACTCTCGTATCCCTCGCTTAAAAAAAAGCAAGAAATCGAACTGGGCCTAAGATAAAAAGAATCGAAAAGTTCAGATACAAAACGGGTGAGACAAAGGATCACGGAATCGCTAGATCAAGAGTGAAAAAGGAGAGAGAAGGAAAAAAACGAGAGAAAGAGAGGAACATTTATAAGATACGTTCGTAAACTATAAGAGACAGCTTTTTGATTCGATAGAAGGCAGAAAAAAAAGTAAAACGTCGTGAAGATCTGGCCTTACGCGTTATTGCTCACTTTCGTGTTAATTTCGCGTAGATTTTCTCGTAGAGCCTCAAGGGATAAAGTGATATGCGCGCGCGTGCTTTTTCCGCTCGTGCTTGTGTAACGTAAACCTAGGGGTTTCGCGATATTCGATCAGACACGACAGTAAAAGAGAAAGAAAGAGAGGGAAAAAGAGATAAACGGATCGTACACGCGGACACGCGTACGAAACAAGAGAGGAACCGAGAACGAAAAAAATGGCCATGGTCTCGACATGTTCTGTTTTGAGGTATCGTCTTCTGCTGAACGCTGCGCTTCTCACGTGCCTCATCGTTCTTCAAAGCTCTGCTATCGCGGATAACGCGGACACGACGAAATTGCCCCCGTGTCCAAGGTAAGTGTCTCATAGTCAGTGAACCAGCCAAACGAAATCCAACCTCAACTCGCTACTCGCCTCTGCCCAAAAATTCAGAAAATTACGTGATATGTCCCCTCTTTTTTTTTTACTACGTCGTCTTTCGCGATAAGTGACAAGGTTACGCTTATTTTTAGTGGTCAGCTGACAATATTTCCGCCATTAGCCTTTAAATGTGACAACAAACTGTGCTTAAGACAATTTTTTCTTGCACGATATCAATATTAAAGTTTTCAACATCGATTCAACTTCGTACAATGTAAAATTTGCTGGCGATTGGAAATATTTTTTCAGCGATTCACCTTTCATCGTCTGTCTCTGTAAATATGTCGCGTCGATTTTCATCGCACAGATAAGAATTCGTTCGCAATTTAAAGCGGATAAATATGCGAAAATTCAAACGAAACGTTTAAAAATTGAATTGCGAATTTAATGCAAATTTGTCATTTTCGTTTTTTATGTAGATTTTATCAAAGCTAGAGATCGAGTATTACGCCACTCGTGCATAAACGATTACGTTAAAGGCATATAATTGCATAAAATTTTATATCTCAATTATCGTGTCTCACTAATTATTGTTTGCGGAAGTAAATTACAAAATGACGTAGGATTAGTTTTTTAGGATTAAAGATTACATTGTAGCATCTCGCACAGCATGAAATTACAACTTATTATATAATGCGTCAAATATAAATAATAAATATTTCGCTGGAATTTTTTAACATTTGTTTATAGCAATATTTGAATGCTTAGTGAATATAATTTTTGTCATGAAAGCACAAAACATATAATACTATATACGAAAAATTTATTAGTTGTATATTTTATTTATTGGAGTTTTTGTTATTTTTATATTTTTCTATTTAGCTCAATTGTTGGCCGTATTTACTATGAAATTGTTTTGATCATTGATAAAAATAGACAAAAGTTCACAACAAAATTGTTGTTTGTTGGAAATTAAACGTGCGCAGTATAGAAAATATATACATATATATTAAAAAATATAAAATCTTGGTTTAATCACGTAATTTTTCATTCTTTAAAAAAACTTTTAAAATTAAATTGAAAACAAATTATTTATATGGAGAAATAAGATATAACTTTTTTAATGCGAATAAATTTTTGTTGTAAAAATGAAGTCTCCAAGATTTGATATTTAAAGCATACACTCATTTTAAATATTCGACATCGGTCATTCATCAGAGAATCATGTGTCCAAGATGTGACGAATATAAACTTCGATAGCTAACCGGAATATCTTAGGTATCAGACGCGTTGAGAAGAAACGTAACGAGACTTCATGTGATTCGTTGACGGCGAGTCACCTCGTTTACTACGGGAACAAAAATAGTCGTCTCACATATACGTAACAGTCATTTTCGTAAATTTTCTCGACGAATTAATGAATAATTTTTACATAATAAAACTGCTGTCTCTTCATTTTGCCCGTATGCATATGTATCTTAGACTTTATATCAAATTTATATTTAAATTTCTGAATCACTTTTTATTTTTACGAATTCATTTAATTATATTATTTTATATATGTAAAATGGAATTTAGCATATAATACTTCAAATTCATCAAAATAATATCGTTTCTTTATAATAACGTTTTACGATTTATAGCTTGAAACATTTTAGCTAACGTTACGTTATTTAAGACTTGGCCCAAATTACAAGCGTGCGATTCATATTTTGGCTTGACATAGATGCAAACCATCGTGTCACCGAAATATACATAGAAAAATACTTCTCCCCAAAAATAGATCGTTAATCGATGTGCCATTTTTTTCATGCGTGTATTCGTGGTTACATTATCTTGAAAACGGTTACATTATCTTGAAAACAACAAAAAAATGGTAATTGTTGTATAAATTTATTTTTTATTTTATAAAAGTTATTGAAATTAAATATATGTATATATTAATGAAGAAAAAAAAATTTGAAGTATGAAAAAGGGAAGAAACGATATATCTCTTTTCCATTACATTTTCAAAATTCGTACTTTTTACGAAAAAATATAGCTGACCGGAATTTCTTCGCCAAAGTGCGATATAGTTATACACTGTAATCATGTCTCTGATGCAGCAAGAAGTATCGGTATCGCTTTAAACGGACGAGATTATTATATATATGTATGTATGTGTATATGTATGCATGTGTATATGTATGCATATGTATACGCGTGACGCAAGTATTTAGGGAAATGACCTTAGCAATGAACTTTGTCCTGAGATCAGGCGCGTGGCAAGTTGGGCTCTAAATTAGCGTGTTCCGCAAGTACAATGAACGTGACCTTTACACGTCTGTGCACATGCATGTGTGTACACGTGTCAATGGTAGTTCCTTCGTATGTGCCGACTTGCGGTGGAAACTTTTCACTCGCGCGATCGATGACGTGCGTCAGCATCCCTTTCAAGACTGCGTCAATTTTTTTTTCTTTTGCATTCCAAACAAATTTCTGCAACAAGAGTGTCTGAAGTATAAGATTAACGTTTTAATTTCGCGAGCTTATTTAGTTCTTATCTGAACGATCATTCGGTATTAGAGATAACGTGATAAAACTTTATTGGCCTGGAATTTTTTTGCAGATATGTCGTGATTTTCAAACGAAGCGTGCAATAAACCGTGGGTGATATCGTATCACATGTTTGATATAACATCGTGGATCCTCTCAAAGATCCATTAGAGAAAAATTGCTATCATGATTTTTATGGTCGATATAATAGTACGTGAATCAACGAAATTGCATAAGTATCGAATCGAAATTTTTTTTTTGCAGAATATCTGATTTCTGATCGACACGATTTTAAAAAGCAATATTTTAGGCCAAGTTTTAATTAATATGAGATGATATGTATGGCGTCCTACATTAAAATTTCTTAGAGAGAGATGGAATATTCCTCCTATATATTTACGGCATCATCTTGGCATTACTCCATTCGATAAAATCTACGCAATGCAAGGTATCATTTAACGGAGAAATACGGTATTTATTTCGAGATTGAATCAATAATACATATTGCTAAAAAAATTGCTAAAAAAATAACGTAACGACTCTCTTCCTAAAATGCAATATTTATGGATAATGATAAGCTCCGTGAAGATTTATCTGCAAAATGACGGATATAAAATATTCGGTAATGCCTTCTAGAAAAAACAACATCTCTCATCTTACATCTCATGATGCAAACATGTTTGTCGAGTATACATGTGTCGCGACATAGGCAAATCTGCGAGATCCAAATCGTGTCTGCAAGATAACAAGTACCGGGTATATCCGGTAATGTGTATATATATATTTGATGAGCGCGACAGATGATTAACAGCTGAAATCTTTTGTTTTTCAAAACGACATGTTCTGCTCAAATTTCTTCAAGCATGTCAAACTTCCTGACAATTGATATATTTAGAATGAAAAGAGCAGAATATATATATATAAGTGTTAAAGCGCAGCACACGAGTAGAGTAAATTGAGTCTTCCGGACATCTTCCGAATGACGTCTTACTAAAATAGCGTGTTCAGATTCTTCGGATAAGAAATCACAATTTAATTCTAAAATGCACGCTAATTTTTGATCAATTATGTTTACTTACCTATCAATAAATATTTATATATTTAATAATGCATATATGCGATATCGTATACAGTATGTGAATCTAAAATATATAATTTTGAATAAATGCTATTCTCACATTATATAATACTTGGAATCACGTTTAACTGATTAAGTGAGTCAATAATTAATTAAAACGCGTCCTATCTCGCTTATACCGCGTAATTTGCTGACACAGCTTTCTGAAGTTTGTGAAAAATTTTATTTTTTACCAAAGGTATGATTATTTGCCACTATAATTCGCTTTGTGTGTACACTTATTTAGCTAAAAATACTGATACATATCAATATATTTTTTAAAAATATATTTCCCGAAAATAATTGATATAAACAAATAAATTCATATATTTAAACTTTAAACTAGATTATCATGGGTAAAATAGAATTTAAATTAGATTATCATGAATATGTACGAGAAGTATTTCAATCATTGAAAATTATTAGTATAATAAATATAATTGAAGATATATTGTGTTACATCACATATAAATATATATGTTATATATGCTCGTATATCGCACTTTTCAATATAAAAATTGCTTACAATAAGCTCGATGAAATAGAAATAGATGTGATTAGCAAATAAATGATAAAAATGTTAAAAATTAAATGGCCATCAAATATGTATATATATTCTCAGGTGTAAATGACAAAATCGCGTTATCTACATGTTCGAAATGTATGAATTATCAGACATCAAATAACCTGCAATGAAATAAAATAGATTCGGCGTAGAAAGAAGAAAAATTATTATCAATTTTCAAAGATGCCTCATTTAAACAAAATTGTGATAATCACATGTATATAGCTCTTTAATAATATTATACAGATCTCTCTTTTTTAAATACGCGTTTGATTATAAATATATATACGATTTTAATTAGAGAAAAATCCCGGAGCGTGCAGTTATTTCACACGGATAATTAAATTTACACCAAAGGATCGTATCAGCACGTAATTGCGGGCTAATGTAATGAGAAATTTGAAAGAGGTTTCTGCAGAAATTTGATTTACACAGTCCAAGGGACTCGCGTAATCTCCTTTACAAGGAGACGCAAGAAGATCGGCTTCCGCGAGTGGGAAAATCATTATCGCTCCGTTCGCGACGCGAGAAGACGGCGGGAGCGCGCATATTGGCGATGATAATGAGGCGCGGCACATTTCGCGAGGATAATCGCGGCCGTCTCGCGCATTCCATCACGCGAACGCGGAATTTTGTATCGGCGGAACAATGCGAATATTCCATCCTTCCGAGAGAGACAATCGAGATATGACCGATCGCGCGCGCGCGCGTCGAAATGATGCATCGAGAATACGCAGAATTTTCGTATCAAGGTCGGCCAGAGGGAATCAGAAGTCGCACGATTTCTCACGTACGGAGGCCAGTCGTGTGTGACCGATTTACGCCGCGAACTCGCGATGTCACGTTTGGCAATCTCGCGTGCGAGATCGAGGGATACAATCTTCACGAAACCGGAACAGAAAGAAATTTGTATGTCGAGATGTTTGAAATTCGTGAAATTCATAACTCTACACGCTTTTATGATTTCAATTATTGCGATAGAGGAATATTTATTTTTGCAAGACCTAATTATACTTGTTGTTGAGTTACATGATTACGCGCTTGTCCGTTGAATGATCCGTTCAAACGAACGCCGTTGATGAATACCGTTCTTTTTATGAGCTCTGATCTAATGCTTCTTCGGCTTGATACGAGATGCATCCGGAATCAGAATACTTTTGCAGACACGTTACAATGTGCAGGAAAAAAAATAAAACAATGTAATTACAAGATTGGAATTTTGCTACTATTAAGCACAAGCACGTGTAATTTTTTTCATGTGTTTCCCGGTTCTTCTTTTTTTTTATCAAAGTATCAACGAGTTGCGTGTGAGAATAAATAATTTTATCTCACAATCAGGGGCTATAGCTTCTTTTGTAACTGCAATTAGAGATTAGCTGTTTTATTCTTACAAAAAATTATGCTTCCATGAAGACGACGCATAATTAAAAATCTAAAATATCTCTGACTTAATTGGAAGTCAAAACATTGATTTAGATGTCTATCAATCGCGAAAACTGCGCATAGTTGAAAAACATTGTTTCTTCACTTATGTCGCAATTTCGTGGTATTAAATTAGACTTCCTTACAAGGATTGACTTTGCACTACAATAGTAAAAAGACTATCTAGTTAATAATGAGATTTAAAATTTATGAAATTTAAGAAAGTATGTATTTTTTGGTGAGATTTTTATCGTCACTCGTTATCATAAATTATCATGGATTTGCATAAATTTACGTGTTTGTAATCACTTTATTAAGTTTCTCCCCTTTTCACGTAAGGTATTCTTTTTACCTTGATGCAAAGTTCATCCTATTGGATCGATTCACATTAATACCGCGACCGATTCGGTCAACGAGAGGCCATCGTTGCGCGAACGGTCTCATACGGTCACAAGGATCTCGTCAAAAGTAGCCATATACCATGCCTTTCCAGTGAGATATACTGCCACGGCGAGTTGCTGCACACGATACAGATGGCTGCCGTGTACAAGGACTCCAAGCATTTCGTCGACATGAAAATGAAACGGTCGGCGAACGAGACACTGGCGTCATTCCGATCCTTTATGAAGAATGTAAACAACGCGCCGACCAAAGATCAGATAGAAAAATTCATCAATGATACGTTCGAACCGCCTGGTTTCGAGTTTGAGCACTGGGATCCGAGCGATTGGAAGGAGAACCCCAAGTTTCTTCAAAATATCGAGGATGACGAGCTACGAAAGTTCGGATCCTCTCTCAATCACATCTGGAAAGATCTGGGCAGAAAGATGCGGAAGGATGTAAAGGACAATGAGGACCTCTATTCGATCATCTACGTGCCGAATCCCGTGATTGTGCCTGGCGGCCGATTCCGCGAGTTCTACTACTGGGACTCGTACTGGATTATAAAAGGCCTGTTGCTGTCTGAAATGCACGACACCGTCAAGGGCATGTTGAATAATTTCGTGTCAGTAGTAGACAGGATAGGCTTTATACCGAATGGCGGCAGAGTCTACTATATGATGCGTTCGCATCCGCCGTTGTTGATTCCTATGGCCGACGAATATCTAAAAGTCACCCACGACAATGATTGGTTGAAGGAGAATCTCTGGTTGTTGGAGAAGGAGTTCGATTTCTGGATGACAAATAGAACCGTTGATGTCGAAATAGATGGGATTAATTACACACTCGCTAGATATTTTGAGGAGTCGTCAGGTCCTCGACCAGAATCTTATAAGTAAGTATCGCGATATCTGCGAAAAGCTAATCATCTAGAGTCGAAGCGAAATTTAGAATATTATTTTGAAAAATTCAGATGTAACGGGCGGACTCTCCCTCTCTTTTTCTCTTTATTCATGTCGAATTCTTGTAAATATTAATTTTTGTACATTGCGTAAAATAATTGCACCTTGAATAATTTCCGATTTTATTACAAGACACTTGTAGAGAAATTCTAAAGGAGAATGATTAAATCATTCTTAACTTCGACTCAGTTTTGACTTTTCGGTCTTTTAATTTCGCAACTTGATGGTCAGGGAGGACTATTTGACGAGTGAAAGTTTTCGGACCACCGAAGAGAAGGACAATTATTATTCGGAATTGAAAACGGCGGCCGAGTCCGGATGGGATTTTTCCAGTCGATGGTTCGTACACGAGGGTACCAACAAGGGTAATTATCATTCCTTAATTACTTTCCGCGCGATAAAAATGGAAGTCTTTCTGGGTGAGCGACGTTGGGCACAATATTACATACATAGTTACCCGTACAATTAAAATAATATTTAATAGCTGGATAAGGCATAATGACAAAAGATGACGTACCGCGTTAATTGTAAAAGCCATTTTTTATTTAAAAGAAGAAAAAACTGTGTACGTTAACTGAACTGAATTTTTTACATATAGTTTTAAAAAAAAAATGATCATTCGATATAAAGTCACGCTAAAAGAAACTAAAACGCAGTCTTGTTTGTCATAATTTTTTTATATCTTAAATCAAAGTTATAATAATATATTACATAGATATATGCACGTACGTCTACGTACAGTATAGCCATTATTGTGCTATGTATTCCACAATTATTCCACATTAAACAGCAGTATCTTCAATGAGATCTGCGCGCGCCGTCAAGGCTCTCTGTCTTGTTTCCTAAGTGAAAGCCTTGCTCGAGGCATCGATACTCTAAAATCCATTTTTTACAAAATCAAGTGTTGCAATTCAAGGATTGTCAGATCGTATTGTTTTGTAATATTTAGATTGCCCTACCTTGCTCAATTCCATCTCAGAAATGCAGCTTGATATATTAAAAGTTCTAATCTTTTTCATTTATAAATTTCTTACTTGTATGTAACGAAAACTCGTACGGAAAAAAGAACGATTTGAAAGAAAATTCGGCTGATGAGACACGAATTTCAGGCAACCTAACGAATCTCAAGGCCAGATCGATAATTCCAGTCGATTTAAACGCTATAATATATCGAAATGCCGTGCTGCTAGCACAGTACAATCGTCAAATGGGTAACGAGACAAAGGCCGCGTATTACGACAACATAGCGAACAAGTGGAAGGAGGCGATTGGGATGGTGTTGTGGCATGAGGAGGTAGGTGCCTGGTTGGACTACGATATCCTCAACGACATTAAGCGGGATTACTTCTATCCTACCAACATCCTACCGTTCTGGACGGATTGTTACGATACCTCGAAGAGAGCGGAATATGTATCGAAAGTGCTCAAGTACCTTGAAAAGAATCAGATCATGGTGAATATGGGTGGAATCCCGACAACCCTAGAACACTCTGGCGAACAATGGGACTATCCTAACGCTTGGCCGCCTCTTCAATATTTCTTCATCATGTCGTTGAACAGCACGGGCGATCCATGGGCACAGAGACTGGCCTACGAGATTAGTCAGAGATGGGTCCACAGTAACTATAAGGCTTTCAACGAAACGCACAGCATGTACGAAAAGGTAATTTCTCAGATGAAAAGAAAATAAGACTGAAAAATGTCTTGCGTAATTCTTCTTCTTCTTGTCCTCTCTCTCTCTCTCTTTCTTTCTTTTCTTTATATAATACATTTAAAAAAATTGTCACATCAGAATAGAATCATATGGAAGAAAAAAAAAATTTGTTTTGTATGAGTTTTTCTTCAGAGGGGGGAATTTCTAAAATGGGGAAAACTTGAATTCTGTTTACAGTACGACGCGACCGTCTCCGGAGGGCACGGTGGTGGAGGTGAGTACGAAGTACAGCTTGGTTTCGGCTGGTCGAACGGGGTCGTTATGATTTTGCTGGATAAGTATGGTGACAGGTTGACCGCGGAGGATTACTTCACGCCCTACGTCGTGGTCGAGAACGCGGCGCCACCACAGGTCATTTCAACGGCTGGTCAAATGCTGACCGGGCTTCTAGCTCTCATCATATCGTTAGCAGCAGGATTTATAGGGTGAGGTGAGTGTGTCATAGGAAAAAAATATTTCACATGAATAAACAAGACTTGAAAACTGAAGCTCTTTTTCATTACAAAAATGATAAAGTTATGTCAAATATTGATTTTTTTAATTAATTAATTAATGTATATGTGATACATATATTAAAAGAATGTCTTCTTTTGCTTTTTGTTTCAGATATGCACGTGATCTAAATTGGCTAGGATAAAATTTGAAAAAATAGAGAGATCGATATAGGTGATAGTAAATACTTGCAGTCGCGAAGAAAATGACAAGTTGATCTAAATAATATTTTTACCCTTTTTTCCTCGATTCATTCGATTTATAAGACTCAATAACCGATCGATCGATAAAGAAAGATCGCGTTACGGGTAAAGGGACCAAATAGATACAAGTGCAGGCACTATTCTTCTTACGAATATTATTGTAAGACATTCCGAGTATGCGCGAGGAAATTTCGCGTCATTTTTACTCTCTTGCCACAACACATACGTGCTTCCAAAGATTATTTTATAAATCACAGAGTATATATATATATATATATATATATATATATATATATATTTTTTAACGATAATATTGCATTTAAGTATTACTTCAGAAGGGACACGAATTTTTATTGTTTGCTTACTCGCGATATATTGTCGATATATCGTACTTACTAATTGCTTAAATTTTATATAATATACACTTTATACTATTCCATTTGACATATTTATAATCTTTATAAAAAAATATGCATGTTCAAAGTACGTAATATCGATTTTTTTCTGAGATTATTATCTCTGAGACTATATCGTTAGTATGCTTAAACATACTTGCAAATATGTGCCTTCTTAGCTAGCTGAAATTATGTCGTTATATTATTTATAGGAATATATATATATCGTGACCCTTCTCTCTTGCTGACGGATAACGCAGGCAAGATTCATTATCGCTAGACATTCGTCTATTACTTAATTGTTCCATCAGATATGCGCTGTTACGAGGGATATTCTGTGATTATTTAACGAACTATTTCGCTGGTCGAACTACGTTCTATTGTATCCTTCCATTGCAGGAGTTTATCCTTTGTTTTTCTGTTTAAAATTTTGGAAATGTTATAGGCAATTTCTTGAATTTAGAGTCTTTCCCAACATATATTATTAGCGAGTATTTTATTCTGAGATTAGCCAGTAATTACTATATTAGTATTATTAGATAAATTATTATGTCGCACATATAAAATATGTAATAAGCAAATATCGACATCTCCGAAATATTCCGGAGACAGTCGGAGAAAGGTTCCTTGAAAGAGAAGAGGAAAGATATAAAAAGGCGCAATACGAGAAAGTTTAAGGTAAGAATTTCGACAGGACTAGAAGTTACAAATAAACGATGTAATGAAAAAAGATTCCGCTCTCTCTCTCTCTTCTCGGAAGAAGAGTGGACTCATCTAGTCAGTTTGCGTACAGCGTGTAGCTATCTTATTTTTATGAATCGCTATGGCGAGGTAATGTGAAGGTTGAGCGTCGCCAAAATTACTTCTCTAATTTTCGTCGCTCTCGCGAAGGGTGCCTTAAATATAACTTGAATGAGCGGATAAGACGGAGCGTTGAATTGAGGAAAACATGAGATTGCAGTGGATAATGGACGAAACGCAGCCGTCATGGGCAATGGTTAACAGTTTGTAATGATGACAGATAGTTTACTTTCAATTCGCGAATTGTTGCCTCTATATTTTATAATCCTCTCTTCAGTGTCCATTTGCAACAATCATTCCCTTTGTAATAAATATTATCGCGAAATATGTTAGAATTATGATCTCGCGAATTACTATGTCCACACTCATCGAATCTATTGAATAGATTCTAACGAATAATAAAGCGCATAAAAATCAGAAAGATATATTTTTGAAAAAGGAAGGATTTATTATTATATATAATATATTTATTTAGAGAACAGTTTTTATTCAAGTGAAGCTATACAAGACATAATACCAATACGTAATATTACATGCGTTTAAATATCAGTACAATTTTACAATTAACTTATTTATCACTTATTATTAAGCACAACATTAATCGCCGATTATTTTATATATTTATCTTAGAAGACGCGTATATCGCACGTTCTTTTTTTAATTATATCAATCAAGATGTAATAACGCATGCGTAGGTATTTACAAGTATCGCGTCTATCTCTTGCCGTGTAAGATAATGCATGATTTTTTCTAATCCGTGATTTGACACAACACAAAAATAATTATTTTAAACGAATACGTTACATGTTTTCTTTTCGTAATCTATTTATACGAATGCGAGTGTATTATACGCATGCTCCTTGCATCCACAAATCCACACACTTCCTTGTATGATAACTTAATAAAATAAAGAAATCGAATGTGTGTGTCTCCACGTAAATCATCCTGTGATATATTAGCATTGCATGTAGCCATGTTATTTTTTGCGCGTAATACTTTTGAACTTATTTAAAAAAAAGCACTTCAGAAATACTAGGTTGGATAAAAAACACATTTCTTCATTCTGTCTTGAATTTGGTAAGTCCGCGTCTATGCACAATATAACTGGATCTGTCAAGGATTGATTAAAAAATAAAAAAATAATTTCACTTACATTTAACAAAATAAATTTCTTAAAATGATAAAATATATTTTCTCCAATCTCAGTACGTGATATTAAATGATAAGAAATTAAATGTAATTTGTCAATTCTTAAATCTCGTGATTTTTTCTGTTTATTCCGATACATATTTAATTCCAATATGTGTGAATAATACTCCTTAAAATACTTCTCAAGGATGAGACGTAACAATGAAAAAATTAGAAAGACATTCGTTGTTGCAAAAGACAGATATATTTTGAAACATTTGCATATGAATGTATTGTTAATTTTGCAAGGATATCAAGAATTCAATAGATGACATTAAAGCCTTTGTTGTTGCGATAATTATCATTCCATTGCGCTATGCAAGTGGAACTTTTCGCGCGCAGCGAGACGCCTTCGATGGGTACCTAGTCTACCGTTAATAGTAATTACACAGATAATAGTCAAGTCTATGATGAGAGTGTACAGGGTGACCCAAAAGATGCGTACTTCGAAAGTAGTTCGAAAGGGGACTTTAAAGGCCTTCCTTTTAAAAGCAAAAGTTTAATCCGAAAAGAACTTCGAATGTTTAAAAATATAAAAGTTTATGTAAAAATTTGTTTGTATCTAATAAAAAAATCCGACAAAACTTTTATTCAGAAATTTGAAATATAAATTATATAAATCATTTCACACGCTATCGATATTTTTTATTACTTCTCTCATTTAAAATAGCTATAGATGAGAGAAACGTTTAGTAATTTAATGATAGTAATTTAATGCTAGTATTAAGATTTTTGATACAACTAAATATATTTCTCAGATTAATTTGTTTTTATAAAATTTTGAACTCACAAAATGCACTTTCTTGCCTTCAGTAACGCATATTTTAGGCAACCCTGATGCATATCACTGCATATTACGATGCACTGTTGCACTATATTACGACGTTATCGCGATAGATGTGATGAAGCTACTAGCTACTTGTATCTATCAGTATTCTTGTGTGAAGGTACAATTACCAACACACGTGGTGGTGCTGAGAGAAAGAGGAGGAAACGAATGGCCGCCAATGAATATACACGTGATGAAGGCGTGACTGCATTTGCCATTCAGGCTTTTTGCGCAAATTCCTGCCTACATTAGATCGCGTTCAAGGATTAGTCTGTAATCGTATTGATATAACGCGGTAATTCAGTACAAGAAATTCATATATCATTGATAAAAATATAAGTTAAATAGAATTACAAAAATGTACTGGTGAAAAGAAGTGAGAGAAGAAACACACTTGATTCAACAAATAAGAAAGAAAAAAGAATTGAGGAGAGAAAAGAAATTGTAATTTTTTCTGATTGCAATAAATTTGTTGAAATAAAATATCTCCTGCAGGCAAGAAACGTGTGAAAGATTGATATAACATGAGATAAACTTTAAGACACAGTGCCATTTGAAATACGAATAAAATTTTGATCTTTTAAAATTTAAAGTTTTGTATCTCAAACAAATTCTTTGTGTGTGCAGATATATTTTTATTGAAAAAGAAAAATGTATGTAAAGATATTTAAACAGTGGACATGAAGTTTATTTGTGAATGCAAGATATTGATGATACATCGTCACTTAAACCGTATCTTAGGTACCGTATATATTGAATAATCTGAATTTTTGGATCCGAATTTTCGGAGTCCTTTGATAAGCGTGTCCCTTATCAGAGCGAATTAATTTAATGCTTCGATGAAGAAATCTTGATATTTTCGCTATAATTATAGATCTTATAATAATCACAGAATTATCGAAACAGCGCAAATAGTTGAATTATCCGTCGCAATATTATGTCTTAAGTCTTTTTATTTAAAGATCAAAAACTCTAATTATATTACAATACATATTAAGCATTTTATCATGCAAAGGATATTATTTGGCAAAATGTAAATCTGATATTCGAGTCTCTTGAGTGAGGAAACTTAAAGATTTGCGAATTAAAATCTATTTAGATTCATAGAGATTCATAATTTATAGGGGAAAAAATTTAATACGTTGTTTAATCCGTTTCTTTTTTCGCAGGATGGTTATGTACAAGAGACGACATTATTACGTGCCTGGTCCATCGACGATGCCGAACAAGAAACAGGGATTGTCGAGCGGTAGCAATCTGTACCGGAAGCGTATCGCGTACACTGAGTTGAAGGACATGAACAACGATTGATGACTGCTCGTCATCTAGACCGAATATCGATTTGTTACATGACTAGTGAAACAAAGTACACGCACAAGTGTGAAAAAAGGAAGGAGAAGAGCAACCGGTAGAATGAAAAAGCGCCGAAAATGGAGCCAGAATCAAGTCACACAGATGTTCCGAAACGCTAGAGTACAGAGCGATATACTCACAGGTATCTTGAGGAGAAGAACGAGACTGGCTGGTGGAAGACTTATCTCTACTGATGAAAAAAACATAGGTGTTCGAAGGCAGAAATCATCGCTTCGACGATGGTCTTCCAATTTATGAAATCGAACAACGACAAGATTGATGACCGACAACAGGATCTCGGAAGCATTGAAACCAAAGTCTGAGACTCGCTTGGTTCTAATCGCTGCTTCCGTTTAGTAGTGTCCGCCGAAAATTTCGAAGAGAGAGCGAAATAAAAAAGAAGGTATAGTATGTAGTGCATAAAAATTAAAGTAAAAAAGGAAAATGTGTGCAGGTGCGTGTGTATAAGACTCCACTCCAACGATAGCAGGACTTAGATTTAGTTTAGCGAAATATTAGACAGAAAAAAATAATAATGGAATTTCGTAAATTATTTATTAATTTCTTCAACAAGACGATACAATTTTGCGCAGGATTTTTACAGCGTCTTTCTAATTATAAGCAAGATTTATTTAAACGTTTAGAAAGAAAGAATGTATAAATTCTCATAAATAAGTCATTGCTTCAATATGTTATCTTTGATACGCTCTTCTACGGGCTAATTTTTAGGATTTAAAGATAATCTTTTTACAAGTGCAAAATCAAAACACTATAACGACCATTAAGCGTTGAGCTAAAAATCCTACGGTGCCATCCAAATATCGTAGATACGAAAATTAATGTTGCACAACGTTACATATATATCCAGCAATGTGAAAAAATGCGCGCATTTTTATGAGTGTATAGTGACTTGCGAGAAACGATTTTATAATCAAGATTGATACAAAAAAAAACAGTAGCCATAACAAGGGTTCTACTATTTACAAATACGAACGATTAAAATGTATGTATGTAAAAATGTGAGAATGGCCCAAATTGCGTATGTGATTTATAGAGAAATATATCTGTAGGCAAGATATCGCGATTTGTAAGTATAAATAAATAAATAAATAATTTATAAATAAATAAATAAATTATTTATTTATTTATTTATACATTTACAGTGTATATATACATAATTTAGATACGTAAATCGTAAGTAGCGAATAATTGACGATAAACTACTGATGAGATAAACTATTGATGAAATCGTTGTATTTTTGCTGATATTTTTATAAATGAGCGAGCACATGTTTATCCCGCGTTATGTTAATGATCGATTCGCGGGCATTTGTTTGTTAAAAATTAATGCGTTGTGTACGACAGTTTATTTATTATCATTTTCTTTTTTTAATCATTTCCGCATTAAACTATGCGATATTGTAATAAAAGGTTGAAAGTTCCTTTGCCAATTTCTTTGAAAGAGCTTTCACGCGCTCAACTAGTTTTATTCATTAGAGTAAATATGATTTCATGATCTACTTATATTTCGTTTAACGTAAAAGTAAGATTTCGTAGATTTATCTTAGAGTCGAAAGAGCTACTTTCTAGAGCGTATATTGCAACTGCGATTTATTATTTTGCTCTCTCGTTATTATATATTTTAAGCACATGCGACGATTCCGAACGACGTAATTGTTTCACTATGATAGGACGTTTTTCAGAATGGCAATAACAGATATCAATTGAATGATGATATACAAAATTTTCCGGCCAGTGTGTATGATACGAGAGTACCTGGTGTTTGCGACCCAAGAAAATCGCGAATTGTACGAAACTTTTTTTCAATTACGAATGTTTCACAGATTATGATTAAATTAAATTGTAAATAATTTTATATATAATGATATACATAGAAAGAGAAGAGGAATATGTGGAAAGACATCTGATTAGTGTCTCATATAAGAAAAATTCAACATATTAAATAGTTTTTCTCTCTTCTATTTCTTTTATACATGTGCTTATATATTATATATTTTATATATACATACACGCACGTAAATGTTATTTTATGTTATATTTATAAGCAAAACGCCAATATATACATTTGTCAATATATATATATATACTCTTGTATTACTTATATAAAAACTAGCGCCTGTTAAATTTGAATTAAATTGCCGTACACGACGCATTTAACTGAATGCCTAGAACAAGTAAAATGGACAATTAAACGAAGATACAATCGATTTATAATAATTTAATTTAGATAAAAACGACGATTTTTTAAGAAAATCGCCGATTTGATCAAAAATAGAGAATGTTTGGCGTCGTGCTTGCTGTGATCTTTGGCTCTTATTGTCATCTGCTTATTTTTAAATTATTGTAGCCGTACATATATCATATGGATCACATTGCCAAGAAATGCGATAAGCATACAAATTTAAGATGAACGACGTTATGCAATAATTAATCAATTGAAAATATTTTAAATCACGTTCAGTTATAAAATTTAGATTTTAATATATTATTAGTGTGTATATATACACACATATTTGATAATATCTGGGATATTTCGAGTGAATCTTCGTTTAAATAATAATGATAATGAAAAAAATGAAAATAATTGAAGAGTACGTTATGGAACGTTAGCATGTATTCTTTTTTATCACAAGTGTCCTGAATGTAAATAATTTCATCTTCTTTTCGGATGTTATAATCAGAACTCTTGATATTCTAATTGTGCAGTTTCCTTATAGTTAATCATTTTATTTAATTTTGATTTTAATCTATTCGTTTGTATTTGTAAATCGTTATACAAATGTCTAAAAAATTGATATAAGAACAATTATTGTTGCGAATTATAGTTATGTAAACATTTTATTATAATGTAACATAAATCATTAAAAATTTTTTGTATGAAGTGATGTCATGCAGCAATGTAATACGCCTTTTTAAATTGTTAATTTATGATTATGATAAAATTATGTTACACTCCGTTTATGTGTAAAAAAAGCGATCGTTTAAAAATTATAATTTTTACTTATCAACAAAATTGAAAAATTAAAAAAAAATTCGAAAACTATTTTCCTTTTTATTCGATTACGCATGGAAGCTGCAACGAGAAAGAAAGAAAAAGGAATTTCATATACAATAAAGTTTTACACAAATATTAATTAGATATATAGATATATGGAGTGATCAATTTGTTAAATCTTGTATGGCGGTAATTTGTGACACGGTATTCAATCAGTGTTTGTGCAACGAATATCAAATCACAAATAAATGATATATCTCGTATTAGAGATACGCTACCTCAAAGGAAGCGTTCCTACACTTTAATGTACATAGGCGTGCGGCGAAATTCGTATCACGAAGAAGAAAATACTCTTGACGAATTGAATTCTCTTTTTATTCGTGATGACAAATTCGTTGAGAGAGTTTTTTTTCTGACAGATTTATCTTTATTTAAGCGCAATTTTGGAATTATACACAGGATGAGTAATCTTGTTTAGTTACTGGATACTGATGAGAGCAGTATTAGCAGAGAACAGTGCGAAAGTAAATGGACAAGCATTTTCTGCTGAAAGCATGTGTCATAAATATTAAAAAAAATATAAATACACCATGAGTATTTTCACAGGTTTGCGTTGTAATAAATATTAATTTTCAAAAAAAATTATTAGGAGCATTGTGTTGACTTTTTGCACCCACAACAAAAAGAGAAGACTATGATTAGCTTAAATAATTTTTCTCTAATATTTTGTGATATGTATATTAGAGGAAAATATTCCTTTTCCTTCTATATCCTTTCATTGTCAAGCAATATTTCGCTCATATTTGATAAAAATGTATGATTTTAATTATTTTAATCTCAAAATTTTAATTATATATTTATATGCGTTATACATGAGATTAAAGAATGCGAATTTCAGCCGCGCGATGAACACGAGCGATCAACAAATTTCGAAAGATGCAGAAATTAATGCAAATTGTAAAAATATCTGTATTATATGTACATTTGAATAATTGTGATACTTAGAAATAAGTAGGTGTCTTTTGCTGTGTTATGTTGCATTCAATTTTTCTTCTTTATCTCTGTCATTTCGATAATGCTCCAGTTGTATTTAAAAATTGGCTAATAACAGTTGAAAAGAAATTTAGTGTTTTGTCTGCAATTCTCTCACCCTGATGGGAAAAGTTTATACACATACTCACACATACATACACACGTTCATATATATTTATGTATTATACATTCGCTCGATGTACTTTATTAATAGTAAATAGCTAGGTTTTTTTTAGCGAAGATTAGAAAACAATTATATTTCGAATGTAAAAGTAATTATGCATTTTCTTTTTGTTCTGTTCCATCCATTTGAAATTATCGTAAGGTAAGTAATGTGTTGTGTGTGTTATGTTTAATATCGTTGGAAAGTAAATAATGCATGAAATATATTGTAGATGATTATTTGTATTTATACACAATACTATATAACAACAAGGAAAAATACTGAATGAGAAACAGATGCCTTATTTGGTGTATCACACGGGCGCAAGCCAAAAAAAATCATGTCGCAATAGAGCATCTATTTGTATGTTGACTATATAATTTAATACTTGTTACTACTAAAGAGAAATCTCTATACGGATTATATTAATGAAACGCATATTCTCGTTTCTCTTCTCGGTCCCTATAACTGTTCTTGCATTGTTTAAACATATACATTACGAGTACATACAAGTTACATAAATAAGTGGAATATTATATAGCGGACTATTTACTTTATACAATACTTGAAATTTACTTATAATGAGCGTTATATACTTTGCGCACATCAGACATTTGTCAGATATAGATCAGAGTAATAATAACTCGTGGAAGAAATTGCGGTAAAGTAATGATAATAGTACTGGCTCTCTGAGTCTTGTGCGAATTTTATGCATTTTCAAATATAAGTCATATATAGAAAAATATATGTAGATTATATATATCGCAAATGTGATAATACCCGCGGTAAAGACTTTCATTTAAATTTTTACTTTCATAATAATCACTTGCGCATTATTGTTTGAACTTCCCTACTAATAGATAAATATAGATAACATATCTCTTGAATTTTTTCTTTTTTTTTAGAATAATATCCTTAATATTCTTTATAAACTCAAAGCAACAATTTATAAAAAATTTATATAAGTAAAAATTATCGCAAATACAATTATATAATTATATACTACAAAAAAGCTAATTAATGAATGTTATCTAATATAAACGTTATTTTATAATTTTTTATCGTCTAATGCGAGACACATCTGGATATTCAAATATATACGTCAAATATATATGTATATATTATATATCAATCAATTCCAAATAATTAAGTATGATGAATGCATGTAAGTTTTCTGCAATTATACAAATTTTTAAAACCAATTTAAACAATTTTAAAAAATATGTACAATTGCAAAGTATATCAATTTTGCAAAATTGAAAAAAGTCATGCATACATTCATTATAAAACTTGAGGTTCTAATTTCTAAAATTTCTCGATAGAAATCTCTATAGAAACTTTAGTAAAATATATGCAATATATACGAAGTCGCAAGAAAAAATAGAAATAAATTTTTACATCTTTCATAATATCGTATTGAAGGATGCGATGTCATAAAACATTCGTAAATCGTGAAAACGATTATATAATAATATATAATAAAACATGGAAGATTATTTATAAAGTCTCATGTCGTATGCGTTTTAATTTACTAGATATTATATAATACTAACGAAAAGCCTATGAAAGCTAATAATTTATACCTAGAATGCAATGTAACTATTAGTAGTGAGCAACATTTTGATCAATAAAAGAGATTAATCCAGAATATATATAGAGATTTAACATTGCATTCGACTATGAATAAGAAATAAAAGAGAAGATAAGATATCTAAAATCAACGCTTTGGTGCTCAAATACACATTCACCCGTTGATAATCGCATTTTTAGAATAAAACCATATATTTTTTTCTGCATATTCATAGATAGCCGCCTAATTTTACGCATGATAATTCTAAAATAAATATATCTATCACAAAGACTGGTCTAATTGTATATATATGGTATATACATATTCATTGGAACTTCTCTCAAAAGTATATTTCTAAAGAGTATATTGCATTCTTTCCACATGCTAAATTCACCTTTCGATGAAGAGATAACGACACAGCAATGAGCAAAATTGCGGCCGTATCTTTTTTCACAATGTAAAAGAACACATAAATCATATAAATAATTTTGGATAATCATTAAAATGAGACCTTTTATGTTCTTAACAGTGCAGGTAATTCGTTAAAGTATATCAGAATCTCTATATGATCTCTATATGATCTACTTTTGGGAAGTTCTAATGTATATATGTATATATGTGTTTTATAATTTATAGATCTTCTAGTTTGCACGCGTCAGAATAATTGCATCAATAAAGAACGATTGTACACAATGATCGAGTTAAATATTTGTTAATATTAAATAAAGATAATTTTTGTTAATGGTTTTCGGACGCACTCTATAAGCATCAATATATAATTCATTCAATTGTACATATTTTTCATATAATCAATTGATTAACGAAAATTTTAAAACAAAATGCTTATGAATTAATTATAATTAATTTCATAATTGTCAAATATCACGAAAAATAATAATATAAAATAAATAATAAAAATAAAATTTATAACAGAAAAGATTGCGTTCTGATTCGAAGCTCACGTGTGTCCGAAAACTGCGTAACGTTGCGTTTCCTAAAAAGGCCCAACGTATGTAACATGCATTAAATAATACTAGTTATAGTAGGACACTAGTCCTACCATAATAGTAGGAAACTAGAATACTAGTTATAGTAGGATAGTTAATCTAACTATTTACAATTCGTATCGCCCAAAATTTGCTACATCGGCTTAACGAGAGTCGCGTTAGTAATAAATACGATTATGATGACATACAAGAGTGTTTCTATATCGTTTTTGTTGTACTTTTATCGTGATTCGCTGATCCGTTTCTTTCTCAATAATATCGAATACTCGATTCCACTGTCGGATCAACGTCCACTATAGATTATTCTTAGGCAGTAGTAGGAGAATCCTTGCCCCTCATAATACTACAGTTCATAAATTTACACGACTTGCAGCGGAATATTTATATCTCTGTTTAAAAACTAGCTGTGTTCACACACGAATACTTACTGTCTCTTGATGAAAGATTTTTTGCGCTATATTAGTTGCAAAATTGTTGTACGCTGTAGCTCTTTTTACATTCTAGCTCACGTTTCCGCTTTAAACCGTGCTATCGGCGTTCTTGTTTGCATGTCGCTCGTGATTTGTATAACGCAAAAGTGGATCATCGACATTTATGGTTCCCATTTCTTCTTCGTTATTAGCAGAACTAGTCACGATAGTGGATTCTTCTAATAGATAGAAAAATATATATAATAATGTTATTTACTAATGATAGAATACTTAATAAAATATTAACATATGTGTAAAATTAATAATTATTAATATTAATATTAATAATTATTAATATTAATATTAATAATTATTAATATTATTAATATTTTATTAATGTACAGAATATGCTAAACTTTTTTAATGTTGAATTTTTTTACTATTTACCGGGTAAGCATAATTGCAGTTGATCGTTGCTGGGATTAGTGCTATCTCCGGTCCCACTATCTTTGCTGTGCTGCGAACTCGTGTCCAGATACAGTTGCGTTTGTGCTTCGGGTACAGTTAATACGACGGTTGTCACTGGCGGGGCACCGGTGTCCTGTGTGAGATTTAAGCGACGTCTAGTTTTGTAAATTACAACCACCCAAATCACGGAAGTAGCAACGGCGCAACACACAACGGTTATGATTATTAAGCCCAATATTTCAGAATCGTTCAACACAGAAGTCGGAGCTGTGACAGAAAGACCGATATAAAACTTAGTCAAAAAAAATTCCTTTGTCAAAATTATTCACGATCTTATTATAAGCATTTTAATTACCTGGATTGATTGTAAGATACGACGCGCCAACAATACTGCCCAATGAATTACTCATCTCGCATTCATAATTACCGGTGTCACTATCGATCGTATTAACAATGATCAATAACTGATCCTCGGCAGTGAGAAAGTGACGTTCCGTTGCTTGCAGTGGACTGCCGTTCTTTCTCCACGATAATTTTGGACGTGGTGAACCACTGGCCATGCATTCGAGCACGATCGAGCGACCTACTATGGTTTCTTTGTTCTCCATCGGTTTTACAAAAGATGGTGCTTCTAAAGAAGAAAAGTATTGTAAGTATATACATATAAAATAATATATGAGAAATTTATATATATTTCAGGCCTCTTTGATATGTTAAAGAAGAAAATAATTCTTCACCTAATATAGTGAGAGTAGCATTTGCAATAATAATGCCTGCTAAATTTTGCGCGGTACACGAATAAATTCCATTGTCGGCCATTTTGACATTTACTATAAATAGTACATCGTCCGTCGGCATCATGTGCATGCGTCTCTCCCTTGCAGCTGGAAAATCATTTCCACCGTCTTTCTGCCAGGCTATCTGCGGGGACGGTTGTCCCTCAGCGGAGCATTCCAAACGAGCGGTGCTTCCGGCATTCGCTCGTATATCATGCGGAATTTTGGTGAATGACGGATAAACTATGGAAAGAAAATTAAATCTATACTTGTATAGAATCTTAATTAAAAACCACAATTGTGTTTTTATTTTCTAAAAATTTAGAATCCATAAGAAATATTTAAAAGAGAATTATTCATTACTGAAATTTTATTTGATTCAAAAATAATAACATTTTTACCTCTCTTTCTCTCTCCCTTTTTCTTTCAAAAATGTAATGTCAATTGGTTAACATCTCATTAATATAATGGAAATTAAAAATAATGGACATGTATAGCTTACCCAATACGTTCAGCATGGCTTTGGCCGAATATGTAGTTCCATAATTATTTGTCACCATGCATTGATATTTCCCCGCATCAGCGTGAGTGATATTAGTAAGATGTAACATAGACGTTGCTTCGGTTGCTCCGCTTTCGGAGGAACTAATGTTGGTCTGCAGATTCGCCCCGTTTAATTCCACATTATTATGTTTCCAGATGAAATGGAGCGGTGCATCAGCGGTGCTACTTGCACGACAAATCAACGTTGCATTGTTTCCTTTGATACTCATTTGACTCATAGGTTCTTGGATGATTCGGGGTTTTGGATATTCATCTGTAAAAGAATATAAAGAGAATATGAAGAGAAAATGTTACTGAAAAGATAATATTATAAAAAATAGGAAAATAAAAAAATACATCTTGATATATTAAAATAATAAATGACTGACCACAAGTAAAGTTTTCATGATGTAACTGAGTTAATGACATGCCCTGCAACCAATGTGGATAACCACAGAACAATTCAGCCTCGCTATAATGATGTTCTCGCAACCACATGCTTAGCCATTGAAGTCCACAGTCACAAACTAATGCTTCTATATATAAATAAAAAAAGGAATTAATACAAAAAGTATTATTAAAAGTTAAAGATACATATAATTAAAGAGAGAAATATATTTAAAAGTATTTATGTATTTAATTTATACATAAAGTGACATTTTTAACTCACGGGTATTCATTTTAAGTTTCTTCAAACTAGACAGTGGAAAGAATGCATTTTCCTGAATAGACGTAACATTGTTTCCGATTAAATCAAGTTCGTTGACACGAATCAAACCGGTGAAAGCGTTTTGATTTATGGATTTTATTTTGTTGTGTGCCAAGCCTAGTTTCCACAACTGACCGAGCGGAGAGAATGCGCCACCAATATCTTCTACCATATAGGATATCTTATTCGAATTAAGTTCCCTTTAAAAGAGAACAGCGATTGTAATACAACAATCGTAAATGTAACGAAAATATGAAAGATTTACGAAAAATATATATGCATACAGAATTCGAAGGTTTGTCGTAACATTAAATGCTCCCTCCGAGATGTATGCTATCTGATTATGATCCAGCTTAAGTCTTTCCAGTTTTGATAGATATTCGAACGAACCTCGGTCTATAGAGGTCAATTCGTTATGTGACAAGTCTCTAAAAAAAGAAAAAGATAAAAATCCAAAATTAATAATTTATGTATTTGATGTTTATAATGTTCATAATCAGAAGATGATAAATTAACTCGTGTCATATATTATAAAAGTGTTACTGACATCTCCAATATTTCTCTACATATATCCCATGCTTGAGGTTCAATCGTTGAAATTTGATTGTGTGACAAAGTAAGTTTTTGCAAATGTTCCAACCCAAACAAGCCACCCTTTCTCACAGTGGTCAGCATATTGAAATCAAGATGTAATTGTATCAATGTTTTAAGTGGCCAAAAAGCTCCATCATCCAGCATGTCAATTCTATTTCTTTTTAAATGCAATTCCTCCAGACTTTTTAAATTTTTCAAACTTAATCCGTGAATTTGTTGCAGATTGTTTTTATTTACTTCCCTGCAACATATTAATAATTATTTCTTCAATGTAATATTTTACATAGATTTATAAATATTATGAATATATTATAGAATATACGAATGCTTACAATTTTCGTAGTTTTCCCAAATTTGTGAAAAGATCTTTCAACTGTGTTAAATTGTTTTTGTTTAAGCGAAGTTCTTCTAGTAAAGTTAGATTATCCAAACTTCCATTTTCAATTATTCTTATGTTGTTTGCATTTAAATTTCTACAAGTGTATAGAAATATTAGATAATATATTAATAAAATATATAGATTTATAAAATGTGATTAAAATACATACAAATTTACAAGTTGATTAGGAGCAAGAAAAGCTCCTTTTTGAAGGACACTTATTTTATTCCCACTAAGATCCAGGTATTGAAGGTGTTTCAAACTGAGCAATGCAGACCCGTTTATACTAGTAATTAAGTTATGGGATCTGTAATTATAATATTGATAATTGTTGTGTTATTTTTTAAAAAGTATTAATAAAATATTCCTTGCATCATACTGTATTAAAACAATTTTTAGAGTATGTATGCCAGTACTTACAGTGTGAGGTGAGTAATATTCTTAACAAATACAAGATCTGGCACTTGTGTTAAATGATTTTTATTCACTTTAAGTTCGCGTAATTGTCCAACGTCCGACAAGGCGATAGTAAAATTATCTTCGAGTTTATTAGCACTTACATCTCTACAATTATAGAGAATCATAAAATTAACAATAAGTTGTAAAAAATAATTAGTGAAAAATTTAAATAATTTCAAAAAAATCTATTATATAATATCTATTATATAATATCTATTATAAAAAAATAGGTGTGTTACATGCTTACAATTTTTTGAGTTGTGTTAAATGATGTAATGAGTCAAATTCCAAGTTAGCAATATTGTTGTTCTTTAATTCTCTGAAAAAAATAAAATTTGAATTATATTTATTAATATCACAATATTTAAAACTATTTTTTTTCTTATTATTTTTATATATTGCATTTATATCAAACAAATTTAAATTATATCTATTCAATCTTTTTATTAGGCCTTTTATAATAATATAAATTTATGCATATTAACATAAACTAATAAATATAATGTAATACAAATACACATAAGAATTGTTTTATAAAGAAAATTATTTTATATATAAGGATTTTATCTTTTTATTTAGATACATGTTGTTATAAAAAAGCAGGAGCATTCTCGAGTTAACTATACATCTTAATATCTTAAGTAGCATAGACATGAATCTTCCCTACTTAGATCTTGCTATCCTTGACTCTGAGCATTGGGGGACTTTACAATGATCAGCCATCATAACACCCTATATGGCAGGCAATAGAGACCTGGTCATGTATATGTAGAATCAGTTTTATCAATCTGACCATTTGGTGCAGCAAAGGGACAAGCAACCCACATGCAGCCATAATAAGCAATATTAGTCCCTGCTGATTTAACTTCCAAATAATATAGAATAATAACAGTTATCATCCAATAAATAATAAATTGCTGTAATATCCGCTGTTTATTAATTTTTTATTTTATAAAACAAGTAATTTGTCAATTTTTGCATATTAAGTATATCAATTTTATAAAAGAAATGTTATAATCTTGTTAAAGATTATAATAAACTATTGTAAAATAAAAATTTATGTATAATATTTACCATTTGTTTTTCAAATTAAAATTTAAAGTTTTTTGTTTATATCACTTTAAAAGTCAATTAAATAACAGTTAATGCTTAATTATTTTATCATTATTTTATCAAATCTAATAACTTGTAGCAAATTCCTTTATAATTGGATTATCAACCACACATACATATTATTTCTATATTAATAATTATCTTAAAGTAATCATGGAAATAAATTATAAAAATCATTAGATAGCTGATCATAAAATATATACAGGGTGTGAGTTTCATAAAAAATTCATCACATTATTCTGCAAAATTGCTAGAGATAGGAGAAGACATTATTATTAAAATTGCAAGATAAGAGTCACATATTTCTTGAAGAACCTTGAATGTCCTTAGGAGATTTCTATATTATCAACTATTTTTATTTTTAAATAGGAAGGAGTACTTTTAAGTCATTCTATTGATAGTAGAGCTTAATAACTTTTGTATCAAAGCATTTTTTCGAAAAATCAATCATTTTTGAGATATTTACAAAATTAAAAGTCAAAATGAAAATTTGAATAATCTTGCAAGGATAACACATGTTTAGTTCTATCTATATGTTTAGCTCTATCTACCCATTTGGAAACATTGAATTCTTGTTCAATGTTTCTAAACAAATGAATAGCTAGAGATAAGTCCTGTATTATCCTTGTGAGATCATTAAGATTCAAATTTTTATTCCAACTTTTAATTTTGTAAATATCTTAACAGTGATTGACTTTTCAAAAAAACTGATATATGAAATTTATTAAGCTCACTGAGTACTGTTGATGGAATGACTTAAAAATATCTCTTCTTATTTAAAAAAGAGACTATAGTTGGTAATATGAAAAACAAAGACATTCAAGGCTCCTCAAAGTTATAACATATGCCCCTATTTATCTTATTTATTTTGATAATAAGTATCTTTTTCTTTCTTTTGTTGTTTTCGAGAAAAATATGGTGAACTTTTATTAGACTCACCCTATATATGTATATCTCGTGTCATTTTTATTTCCATTACAAATTCCTTTTCTATCTTATCTGTATTAGCTCAGGTTACGTGGCAGGTATACAAGTCCAGCTATAGTCTACTATAATTGACAAATCACCCTTATATCTTTAAAAATAAAACAAATATCACCTGTCATATACCTATATTGCGATGATAAGTGAAATACATTCTCCAAAATATACTCATATTCTGTTGCATGGACAATTGATCTTATAGGCAGAGTGAGATGTTATTTATGATAAATTTGTAGCAAAATGGAGAGAAATATATTGCTCCTCTTGTTGTATAACGTCAGCAACACCAGAGTTTACTCACAGGATCTCCGTCCACGGTGGCAGTCCGTTAGGTGCCTCGATCAGTTGCAAATTGCTGCAGGAAATCAAATTGCCGAGACAGGCACACTCGACCGGGCAATGATCCGTCTTGTCATAAATCGTCATCAATCGTCTCAATTCGGCGGCGCTCGCGTGGGCAATCAGCGCGAGGAGGCAGACGGCCAGGAGGATCGTGCCGCGTCTCCTCCGCTCGGGGAGACGGCGACGCCTCGGCATCGCCGAGCACCGCGACATCGCGTACACGCACAGAAAGTGTTTGAATCCCGCTGGGATTAATCGGTCACCTCGCGACGCTGCTCACCCGCGTTGCCGCGCGGACCCATCGTCGTGGATTCCTGAGACAACAACTGAGACGACGACGACGACGCCGCTCATGGGCGAGCGGATTGCCATGATGACGAAGAAGCGATGATCTTCCACGTACGCGTATATTCGATCGCGCTGTCGAGTCAAAACAAACTCTGCCTCTTCTCTCAAAAACGCAACCCACGCACCATGATGACGCCTACGGGACCTAGAGGTGGACCAGAGACTCGATCGCGCTTCCGTGTCGTACGCGCGTAGGCAGCGTCATCTGGTGAGTCACCAAAAGATGACGCGACGTGTAGTGCCAGAGAGGTCATATCTGTCAACAGCGTGGAGGCGATGCGATGCGCATGCGCTCAACGCTGATTGGAGCTGACCGAAGCCGACCGAGCGTGCACAGAGAGACTGAGAGATGTCGTGGCTCGCTTTATCCCTGGAAGTGATACTCCCTCTATGAACATTAACAACAAAATATGAACTACAAAACAAATGTCCACGAAGGTTCTCAGAGGATAACATATATGTCCCTCTGATAATATAAATAATATAAATAAAAATATAAATAATTTAATTAATAATAATTTATTATATAAAAATATTAATATGTTCTCTCTTTTCCTTGCTATTATTTATATTATATATTTATATTATATATTTATATTATATGTATAAATATTACATTTAAGTGTGAGTCCAAGAAGCAAATTTAGGATATTCACTGTAAGTCAGCCGCTCTTCGGGCGATCGGGACGAGATTTAAACGGTAGTGCCGCGAAATGGTGTAGAATTTTATTCAAAAAGAACGAAATCGCGTCTGGAAGTCGAGATATAAATTCGCTGTTTTTCGTCTGCGCGCGGACGGTCGAAATCGTGCACGACGCCGTGCATGTTGCCTGCCGATCTCGCGCGATATTCACTGTAACGCGGCGAGTAAAATGGCAAGCCGAATGTAATCGTTCGATTAATTTATTAAATACTTATATATACCGAACGAAAAGATGAATCGGAATGCAATCGTTCGATTAATTAATTAAATATAGATACTACGATCGCGGCGAAGCGGTGGGCGGGTCGCTCTCCGAAACATGATGGTGGTTTGAGATATATCGCGATTGTTCCGTGATACATCAATCATTCATAATTAATTAATTTAAAATAAAATATACTTCTATTTAAAATGTCGCGTGTATATATAGTAAGCAAAATATTTCGGCAGAGAATTATCAATTAATATCATATGTTTGGCCTTGACGACGTATAGCAAGCGGCTATACATGTCATAGCTTTGCCATCATTCACACGGTGACACTCGAATATAGAAAAATATTTAACAACATGATAATTAAGTAAAGAGCATTAAGAGCCCACAAACCAATTCGTTTCTTATAATTTATATTATCAGGAGAATATATTTTGCGAGGAGGTCGATGATGCGTTGATGATCTCTTTACAAATCATGTTCTCCTAATAACGCAAACGTGAAAATTTTCGAAAATTCGTTTCTTATAATTTATATTATCAGGAGAATATATTTTGCGAGGAGGTCGATGATGCGTTGATGACCTCTTTACAAATCATGTTCTCCTAATAACGCAAGCGTGAAAATTTTCGAAAATTCGTTTCTTATTATTTTATATTATCAGGAGAATATATTTTGCGACGAGGTCGATGATGCGTTGATGACCTCTTTACAAATCATGTTCTCCTAATAACGCAAGCGGGAAAATTTTCGAAAATTTGTTTCTTATTATTTTATATTATCAGGAGAATATATTTTGCGAGAAGGTCGAAGATGCGTTCATGACCTCTTTACAAATCATGTTCTCCTAATAACGCAATTGTGAAAATTTTCGAAAATTCGTTTCTTATAACTTTATATTATCAGGAGAATATATTTTGCGAGGAGGTCGAAGATGCGTTGATGACCTCTTTACAAATCATGTTCTCCTAATAACGCAAGCGTGAAAATTTTCGAAAATTCGTTTCTTATTATTTTATATTATCAGGAGAATATATTTTGCGAGGAGGTCGAAGATGCGTTGATGACCTCTTTACAAATCATGTTCTCCTAATAACGCAAGCGTGAAAATTTTCGAAAATTCGTTTCTTATTATTTTATATTATCAGGAGAATATATTTTGCGAGGAGGTCGATGATGCGTTGATGACCTCTTTACAAATCATGTTCTCCTAATAACGCAAGCGTGAAAATTTTCGAAAATTCGTTTCTTATTATTTTATATTATCAGGAGAATATATTTTGCGAGGAGGTCGATAATGCGTTGATGACCTCTTTACAAATCATGTTCTCCTAATAACGCAAGCGTGAAAATTTTCGAAAATTCGTTTCTTATTATCTTATATTATCAGGAGAATATATTTTGCGAGGAGGTCGAAGATGTGTTGATGACCTCTTTGCAAATCATGTTCTCCTAATAACGCAAACGTGAAAATTTTCGAAAATTCGTTTCTTATAATTTATATGATCAGGAGAATATATTTTGCGAGGAGGTCGATGATGCGTTGATGACCTCTTTACAAATCATGTTCTCCTAATAACGCAAGCGTGAAAATTTTCGAAAATTCGTTTCTTAGTATTTTATATTATCAGGAGAATATATTTTGCGAGGAGGTCGATGATGCGTTGATGACCTCTTTACAAATCATGTTCTCCTAATAACGCAAGCGTGAAAATTTTCGAAAATTCGTTTCTTATTATTTTATATTATCAGGAGAATATATTTTGCGAGGAGGTCGATGATGCGTTGATGATCTCTTTACAAATCATGTTCTCCTAATAACGCAAGCGCGAAAATTTTCGAAAAATCGTTTCTTATAATTTATATTATCAGGAGAATATATTGTCCGAGGAGGTCGATGATGCGTTGATGACCTCTTTACAAATCATGTTCTCCTAATAACGCAAGCGCGAAAATTTTCGAAAATTCGTTTCTTATAATTTATATTATTAGGAGAATATATTGTGCGAGGAGGTCGATGATGCGTTGATGACCTCTTTGCAAATCATGTTCTCCTAATAACGCAAACGTGAAAATTTTCGAAAATTCGTTTCTTATAATTTATATGATCAGGAGAATATATTGTGCGAAGAGGTCGATGATGCGTTGATGACCTCTTTACAAATCATGTTCTCCTAATAACGCAAGCGCGAAAATTTTCGAAAATTCGTTTCTTATAACTTTATATTATCAGGAGAATATATTTTGCGAGGAGGTCGAAGATGCGTTGATGACCTCTTTACAAATCATGTTCTCCTAATAACGCAAGCGTGAAAATTTTCGAAAATTCGTTTTTTATTATCTTATATTATCAGGAGAATATATTTTGCGAGGAGGTCGATGATGCGTTGATGACCTCTTTACAAATCATGTTCTCCTAATAACGCAAGCGTGAAAATTTTCGAAAATTCGTTTCTTATTCTTTTATATTATCAGGAGAATATATTTTGCGAGGAGGTCGAAGATGCGTTGATGACCTCTTTACAAATCATGTTCTCCTAATAACGCAAGCGTGAAAATTTTCGAAAATTAGTTTCTTATTATTTTATATTATCAGGAGAATATATTTTGCGAGGAGGTCGATGATGCGTTGATGACCTCTTTACAAATCATGTTCTCCTAATAACGCAAGCGTGAAAATTTTCGAAAATTCGTTTCTTAGTATTTTATATTATCAGGAGAATATATTTTGCGAGGAGGTCGATGATGCGTTGATGACCTCTTTACAAATCATGTTCTCCTAATAACGCAAGCGTGAAAATTTTCGAAAATTCGTTTCTTATTATTTTATATTATCAGGAGAATATATTTTGCGAGGAGGTCGATGATGCGTTGATGATCTCTTTACAAATCATGTTCTCCTAATAACGCAAGCGCGAAAATTTTCGAAAAATCGTTTCTTATAATTTATATTATCAGGAGAATATATTGTCCGAGGAGGTCGATGATGCGTTGATGACCTCTTTACAAATCATGTTCTCCTAATAACGCAAGCGCGAAAATTTTCGAAAATTCGTTTCTTATAATTTATATTATTAGGAGAATATATTGTGCGAGGAGGTCGATGATGCGTTGATGACCTCTTTGCAAATCATGTTCTCCTAATAACGCAAACGTGAAAATTTTCGAAAATTCGTTTCTTATAATTTATATGATCAGGAGAATATATTGTGCGAAGTGGTCGATGATGCGTTGATGACCTCTTTACAAATCATGTTCTCCTAATAACGCAAGCGCGAAAATTTTCGAAAATTCGTTTCTTATAACTTTATATTATCAGGAGAATATATTTTGCGAGGAGGTCGAAGATGCGTTGATGACCTCTTTACAAATCATGTTCTCCTAATAACGCAAGCGCGAAAATTTTCGAAAATTCGTTTCTTATAACTTTATATTATCAGGAGAATATATTTTGCGAGGAGGTCGATGATGCGTTGATGACCTCTTTACAAATCATGTTCTCCTAATAACGCAAGCGTGAAAATTTTCGAAAATTCGTTTCTTATAATTTATATTATTAGGAGAATATATTGTGCGAGGAGGTCGATGATGCGTTGATGACCTCTTTGCAAATCATGTTCTCCTAATAATGCAAACGTGAAAATTTTCGAAAATTCGTTTCTTATAATTTATATGATCAGGAGAATATATTGTGCGAAGAGGTCGATGATGCGTTGATGACCTCTTTACAAATCATGTTCTCCTAATAACGCAAACGTGAAAATTTTCGAAAATTCGTTTCTTATAATTTATATGATCAGGAGAATATATTGTGCGAAGAGGTCGATGATGCGTTGATGACCTCTTTACAAATCATGTTCTCCTAATAACGCAAGCGCGAAAATTTTCGAAAATTCGTTTCTTATAACTTTATATTATCAGGAGAATATATTTTGCGAGGAGGTCGAAGATGCGTTGATGACCTCTTTACAAATCATGTTCTCCTAATAACGCAAGCGTGAAAATTTTCGAAAATTCGTTTTTTATTATCTTATATTATCAGGAGAATATATTTTGCGAGGAGGTCGAAGATGCGTTGATGACCTCTTTACAAATCATGTTCTCCTAATAACGCAAGCGTGAAAATTTTCGAAAATTCGTTTCTTATTATTTTATATTATCAGGAGAATATATTTTGCGAGGAGGTCGATGATGCGTTGATG